TTTTTTTTTTTTTTTTTTTTTTTTTTCTTTTAATAGTGGAAGAAGAAGCGGATGAGGAGATTGAAGAGGAAGCGCCGAAAGATGAGACAGAGATCCAAGTAGTTCGCTTTCATATTTTGTCTGTTTTTTTCAGAATCTTATATCGGAATTTCATTTCTAGGGTTTCTGTTTTTGAATTGATGGTATTTTGTCTTCTCGTGAGTTTCTTCATGTAATAGTTTGCTCTTGGAACTAATTGAGCTAATGAAATTTCATCCTTGTTATCTATATCTTTTGGTTGGTCTATTTAATTTAATTTGGAGTGATATATATATAACTGTGCTGCTATTGCTATATTTGTTTTAGTGTTATATGCAGTGATTGAATGATTTTGAGTGAATCACTACATGAACAGCTCTTTAGGTCAAGCTTCTTTATTTAGCTCTTCAGATTCAAGCTTCTTTATTTAGTTATTCAGATTCAAGCTTCTTTATTTAGCTTGAGTTGACCTTGAACTGATTATCAATCTGATTTCTTAGTTGTAGTATGTTAGCTTAAGTTTTTGCTCATATTTCTGGTGGCTAACTGCTGTTGGTATTATCCTATTGACTGTTGATCTTCTATATGTTGAATCCATATTTCTTTTAGGATAAATATATGATCCATCTCGGTTATAAATGCATGAATAGTTCTTCTTTTAGCTCGAATACCTTGCTTTTATTTCTTGAAAATGAATTGTAAAATATCCATAGCCCCAATGAGTAATGTTATTGATCAACTTTGGAGGTAGTTTGGTTTGACTATTGATGTGGAGCATAGCCTACTTTGCTCAAACCTTGCTTGGATTTGTGGTGGCCAAGAGTTGTTGTTATTGTTCTTGAGTGTATTAAACTCTTTACATGTTGAATTGAGTATTGGTTTTAGGCTAAATATGCAATCAATCTAAGAAGTAGAGCTTGTGATAGTTTTTGCAGTTGTGAAACCAATAAGTTAGCTGAAACAAAACCAATGAGTCGGGTGAAATTATTCAAGCTTATTTGAAAAGCTACCTGATGTAATTTATGAGACAAATTTAAGCTTAAAAAGAAGAAAAACCGTCTTTAACAAACAAAAGGTTATTTGAATTCAGAATGCTTATAACGTAAGAGATTTGAGATATATTTCACATTCATAAGTCATACTTTAGCTTATGATATTTACCAAACACAACTATAAGCTATCCATTAATTTATTTATTATCGAGTAGTTTTTCTGCTAAATTTATCAAAGATAGTAGTATGATCCATGTTTTCAAAGAAGTCTAACATACTAAAACAAATTTATTTCTAAAAAAATTTATTTGAAAAGAAAAAACTTATAAACTAATTGAATAAGCTAATGATGTTCATCAAACACCTATTTGTAATTTGTACATAAAAATTGTTGCATTTTAGACGGAATCGCTGGGTAGATCAAATATATGTCATCAAAATCGCGTGAACACAATTAAACTTGTAAAGCCCTTTGAGCTTCGTTACAATTATCTGGTTTTCATCCTTTAGTATATTTTTTGTGCTCCCTCTATTCGTCCATGCACATAATTAAACATGTAAAGACCTATGTATTAAGTTTCGTTACAATTATTGAATTTTCATCATTAAGTATTTTTCTTGTGCTCCTTGCATTTGTCCAAGCATGCCGGGGGAACTACCCCACATGCCTCTAACACGAGGCGTGTGGGGCAGCAGGGTTCAGTTCTCCCCTATTAAGACATGGGAGCATACAAAAGTCAGAGACTCTTTGAGATTTTATTCAACTTAGCTGTCCAATAATACCGTTGCACTAAATTTATGTAATTTTACTAGTAAGTTATTATGAAATTGGAATACCAAAAGATAAGACTATAAATATATAATGTCATTTGGTTCATAAAAAGTGAAAGTAAAGAATGTCTACAACAATTAGCTTTAGTGATCAAATCAATCCACTTAAACGTCGTTCCAACGGCAGTGTGGGGGTTCGATTTCTTCTTGGAACATTATGCATGAAACAAACACTTAGTACTTATTTTCAGGAGCCATACTAGGAACCTTGGAGTGTTGCTCAATCAGTTGGGGACATACTCCTTGTGCGCAGTGTGCAAGCTTCAGTGAGGAACCTGAGGAGCTACTTGGACGACTCGGATTTACTTCCCCCAATGAGAAGTGGGGTCACTTTCTTGGGTGTCCAGGATTAGTTGAAGCAAACATGGAACTTGAGTGTAAAAAAAAAGTGTCTGCAACATAGTCTAACGTTAGATGAACCTAACAATATAGATAAACCATAAATTTAGCAAATCAAACTGAAATGGCATATCCTAACAAAAAAATAAATAAAAGTATGACATTTAATAGCGTATTTCTTACTTAAAAAAAATTAAAGGGTCAATCGACTTGTCTAATAATAAGCTATCTCATACAAGAAATTGCAGTTATGAATTTTGTTGCATAATCCATACACATATTTGTAATAACTTTTTATTGGAGTTTATAAACTTTACTAGAGAGTGAGACCAAATGGAAATAAACTGAATATCAAATGATGTATAATAGGTTACAAATAATAAAAAATTATAAACGATTACATTTATTAAAATAATTTTATATGACTCCAAAAAATTATCGGTATGATTACATTTATTAAAACAATTTTATATAACTACATGACCTTTTTAGCATATGCAACGAAGCAATACATGAAGCCCATTTTTGTAGAAATCAATCTACTAATTTGGGCCCAAGCTGAATAATTGTCCAGAGTTGATATTTTCAGCCCAGCCCAGAAAATATCAAATTCCCGGAATACCCTTCATTGTAAACCCTCACCCATATAATTGGGAATTAGGGTTTTCATTACTCTCACTACAGCAGTCTAGCTACAAAGGCAGCCGCCGTGTGCTCAATCTTCCACCACCGGCAAACATGGTTAGTGAAAATTTCTGAACCTTTGAGCTTTGATAATGGCCGTACTAAGCTTTCTTTACGATTCATGTATGCCTTTGTTTCTTGTCCTGTTCGTGATTTGCATTTGAAACTTGTTGTTCGCATCATTGTGTAAATGTGTGTTTGGACTTTCATTGTGTGTGTGCAGATCAGTTATGTGAAACTGATTGTCTTCTGAATCATAATTAATGGCTGTTAAATGAATGGATCTGGTTAAATATTCTTACTAGGCGATGTATCATGCTTTAGGAACATGTAAATAGGTTTTTCTGTGACTGTACGGTGTAATTTTGATCTTTTAATGTAAAATGCTGAAGATGTATTGATTCTCGTGTGAAAAAAATATTTATTTTTTTTTCATGTAATTTTCTTGCTGGTTATGTTATCTCAATTGTGCTGTACTTTTGATACCATTAACAGGCGAGAGGACTGAAGAAACACTTGAAGAGGCTCAATGCTCCTAGCCACTGGATGTTGGACAAGCTTGGTGGTGCTTTTGTATGTATATCCATAGCTCTGTTTTATTTGGGTTTTTTAATCTATAATTGTTTTCTGTGTGTGGCTAACTGTGGCTCGGTCTGCTTGCCAATGTAACTGTTTGGTTAAATAATGTTCTATAATTTTATACACCTACTTGAGTTCAGGCCCCCAAGCCGTCATCTGGACCCCACAAGGCAAGGGAGTGCTTGCCTTTGATTCTCATTCTGCGAAACAGGCTGAAATATGCTCTTACTTACCGTGAAGTCATTGCTATTCTGATGCAACGCCATATCCTTGTTGATGGGAAGGTCAGGACTGATAAGACATACCCTGCTGGCTTTATGGGTAAGTGCTCTAGATTGTGTTGATTGGAAAGCTTTTGCCTTTTTGTTTATTATTTGTTCTGTCTAAACTGGTGTGTCTGCTCTTTCTTTTCCTTAGATGTGGTTTCAATTCCAAAAACCAATGAGAATTTCCGTCTACTGTATGATACCAAAGGCCGGTTCCGTCTCCATGTAATTAGGGATGAGGAGGCTAAGGTTTGTTTTCCTCTACCTTCTAGGTTCATATCCATGTCTGAATGTGCTGAGATACTTTATAATGGGCTATTGGGTATCGTTGTACTTTGCCATTAGTATAAAGCTCGAAAAGGGCGCCTAAATTACAATAAATTAATATGGATTGGTTTATTCATTGTTAAGAACTGGTGCCTTGATTCTATTCTTTTCCATTAAAGATGGTTTATTTTAGTCTTGAGCCTTCTGTGTATGTACTAAATATTTTATACACTGTTATTTTGTGATTTTGAAGTTATTTGTCATTTGAGTTTAATTGTTCTTGAGCTGGGTAGAGGCACTTGACTGTTACCATCTATTCTTTTCCATTGAAGATGGTTTATTGTAGTCTTGAGCCTTGTGTATATACTACATATTTTGTCCATTGCGTTGCATTTTTAGACACTGTTATTCTATGATTTTGAAGTTATCCGTCACATTTGAGTTTAATTGTTCTTGACCTGGGTAGAGGCACTCGATTGTTACCATCTCTTATCAGTTTCTTTCATTTTGTATAACGAATTTGACTACATAATAGATTCACATGTTTCTTTTTCTTTTTTCTCATGGCTCTTCAGTTCAAGCTCTGCAAGGTCCGTACAGTCCAGTTCGGACAAAAAGGCATTCCCTACCTCAACACCTATGATGGGAGGACCATCCGCTACCCGGACCCACTCATCAAGGCTAACGACACCATAAAGCTCGACTTGGAGAGCAACAAGATTGTCGATTTCATCAAATTTGACGTTGGGAATGTTGTCATGGTCACTGGTGGCCGGAACAGGGGACGAGTTGGGGTAATCAAGAACCGTGAGAAGCATAAGGGTAGCTTTGAGACTGTCCATATTCAGGATGCAACTGGGCATGAGTTTGCTACTCGTCTGGGCAATGTGTTCACTATTGGAAAGGGTACAAAGCCGTGGGTTTCCCTTCCCAAGGGCAAGGGTATTAAGCTATCCATCATAGAGGAGGCTAGGAAGAGGCTTGCGGCTCAGGGTGCAACAGCTTAGTAGTGCTTTTTTTGTTCTTATGGATGGTTTAAAGTTTTGAATTGTTATAAACTTGGTTGTATGTGTTTTATGCAAGCTTGCTGAGATTTTTTACTTGAATGAACAATTTATTTATTCTGTCTTAATCAGATGCTATATGCTTTTGGTGAGAATGTGATGTTCCCTTTTGGATCATTTGGATGTTTTTTTTTTTT